ATATAAAAGTTAGTTAACTAATTTGAGTAGATTAAAGAAATAAGTTAAATTGGTTATTTGTAATAAATATGTGTTCTCTTTCTTAAGATATCCTTACTAGTCAAGTTTATTGGCTAGAATTATCATTATTAAAAAGACTATCTTGAAAAAAATAGAATAAGTATGAGATACAGAGTAGATTGTGGTCTTATATTTAGGACCAAAATAAAAGTCAAATAAGGTCTTATATTAAGGATCGGAGGCGGTATAAATTGTTGATGAGATAAACTACATATATGCATGAGAATAACTTTTGCAAATAATTTGATTCAACTAAATAATTTAAATCCTGTTTGATTGATAAAATATTCTAAATACTTATGTATAGTGATGGAAGGGACGTCCTGTAGTGTAGTTGCCCTTTGACAAGTAGTGTTCCCATGTGATACCTAACAGTCAGTCATTGATCCTAGTGAAAAGGGATTTAGCACACCGCAGAAGGTTTTAAGTTCAAGTCCTTGTAAATAAGAAGATTAAAGTCTAAAAACTATCTAAATTTAATCTGAATAATTCATATAGATGAACAGAGTGAAGCATGCAAATTCCAAAGTCCATCTTCCTCCATTGGGTTTTTTTTTTTTTAAATTACGGATATGTATCTTCTTGTTGGAAGTAATTTTATTTGAGAAACTGTCAGATACTAAATATGAATATCTTTTTTAACGAGAACTCAAATCTTAATTCATCATATTATAGGAGATTAACTTCTTTTTGGTAGACTCAATTCTGCTGTTATTGTTATAAAAGTTCTGATGATGAATACATTTTATGGGCCTATAATCTTGGACTAAATTGTCCCCAGTGAACTCTCTGAAATGATCCATTATGTGCTGTTGGGTATTAGAGATCTTGCTTTCAATGTCCAGCACCTTCTTCCATGCGTCCCCTTAAACGGGCATCCAACGCAGTTATCGAAGAGATGGATTTTCCTGTAAATAAGAGATCGCAAGTCAATCATGCTTGGAATTTTCAATCATTAATACTTAGTCTCTTTCACTCAAAAAAAATACTTAGCCATTAAAAGGGAGGGAAGGAACGAAAAAATTTGAATAAGCTTGGTTTAAAAAATTAGAGGGGTGGGCTATAAAATATTGATAAAAAAATTTAACTTAAAAAAGAAAAATTAGTTAAAAATTTTTAATCTCACTTTTTAAATTTTTTTAAATGAAGCTTACTGAAAAAAATTTCTCGTTTATTTATTTATTTATTTTATATCAAACCCACCCTTAGGGTGTGTTTGGATGAAACCAAACCATAGTTTGGAGAATATCTTTTGGAGAATAGATTTTGGGAAGAATAGATTTTGTAAAAAAGTGATTCTGAGAAGTGAGAGTGTTTGGATAGTTGTTATTAAAAGTACTTTTTATATATACAAATTACTAAAAAAAACATAAGTTAATATGATAATTATATAAAAGATAAATTTTATGATATATTTTAATTTGAAGGAATAAAATTGTTAATAATATATTTTTTATCAACATAATTAATAATACTTAAGATAATATAATTAATTAATAATTAATATGTGTATATATGTTTATAAGATATAATGTTAAATATGTTTATAAAAAAATAATTGAGAAATGTTAAAGTCATATTATTGTTGAGATCTACTCTGACAAATACAATCATCTCTCCAATTTGAGCCAGAAACAGAATGAATTCACTTTTCCTGAAACCATGGTTTTGGATTCCAATGGTTTTGGTCCAAACCATAGTTTCAGATTATTGATTCAAAATTGATGCTGTTTGGATGACATTTCACCAAAACTATGGTTTTACCTCCCAAACCATGGTTTTGAGGGTCACCCAAATAGATCCTTAGTCTGTCTAAATTAAGAGAAATGAGATCCATACTGCACATGGCATTGCCAGATATGCACAGAAGGGTGACCGGCTTCTCGCTGTCCTACGCAGGAACTTCCTGAGTCCTGACAACTCCTGCGCAGGGGAGACCACAATTTCAGTTGGTTGATGGGATAATAATTTAGAAATATTGATCTACATAGCTACTACGCACTTGATTATATTATATGGAAACCGAGAATTATATTTTTAACTTAAAACTTATATTTATAATAAAGACTCCTAACTTTTTAATTGTTTAAATCAATATTTATAATTTAGCTTTTAAAAAATTTATTATAAATGTAACCATCATCAATTCGTTCTTTAAGAATTTAAATTTCATTCTCCCTGTAGCCCCCTGGATATTGGATTCTTTTTGTGAGGACCGGAGTGAGTATCTTTCTAAACTAAGAATGTTGAATGGAATATGCCAACATCGCAATCCTAAGATGTTGAGTCTGCGTATTTATTTCTTCAAATTGATTTTCAATTTAAACTTTCGAAATATATATAACTTTTAGTCCTCTTTTTTTTTTTAATGTTTTCGGGGACAACTTTTTCCAGTGCTATCTATGCTTTATCTTTCTTTATCTTTTTTTTTTTTTTTTCCCCGGGTATCATTTATCTTTACTTTGCCTCAGCATGTTTTGCCGCCGAAATAGATACTGCTGTTGCAAAGTTCGCAACAAAAGCATAATGATTCTCCTTTCAACACTTTGTGGACATTGAGGTTTGGCTTGGAGGATTGGAAAAAAAGGGGATGAAAATAAGGGCAGATCGAGGATATTAGGAAAAGAAACTTTTAAAAATAATACTATTTTATTATTTTTGAGAACTTTTTCCTAGTATTTTTTTCTCATCCAAATCAAGGGTTAGATGATAATTAATTAAGATTTTCTTACTTTATTCCTATTACAAATTATTAGAAGGAGAATTTAATTCTTATTGAATGTTTTTATATAACTCCTAAAATTGCTATGTTTTTCTCTGTCTTTTTTATTATATTATCATCTAAAGTATTGTTTTGGTTTTTTTTTTTAGGATGTTGAACATTTCTTAAACATTTTTTTTTAAAACATTGAATACTACAAAATATTTTAAATTGTTGATTGAATCATAAAATATTTTAGAATGCAAAACATACTTCAAAAAATACTCCATAATGCTAAATCTATTTCTTAAATTATTAGGATGCTAATGAGAGTAGAGAATATCAAATTTTTATATTTACGCTGGCAATTCTCTGATGCTCCCAGTTTTCGGCCCTCCATGTTCCTATTTATATCAGCCACAACTTTTATTATTATTTTTTTTGAAAAAATTTAATAAAATATATATATTTAAAATTTTAAAATCTCAAATCAGGAATGATTAAAAAATGTGTTGTTATTTTTTTTCCCCCAAACGGCATCAATGTTTATTAAAATGTGGTAAATAAGTCTGATTTAAAATTTTAAAATTTAAAAGTATTTTTTTGAATTTTTCTTTATTGTTTTTTGGGGGAAAAAAAAGAACAACCCCTGCTTTTTACTCACGACAAGCAAGCATTGAAAGGCGAGCATCACCGACAAAAGGTTCAGATTCACGTGTTGCAATAAATTGAAACTCCAATAATTGAGCTTAATTCTGATTTCTGAGCTACAATTAATGGAACCCCAGGACTTGAATGTCGTTGTTAGAGGTAGAAACAGGGCAGGCTTCACCCTTAACAGACCTGGTCTGTAGTGAGGCCTGTTGGCTTGAGTCTGGTCTGCGGCCTGTGAAAGACCTTTTAATAGGCCTGAGCCTGGTCTGTAATCAGGTCTGGCCTGGCCTGTAACCTGTTAAGATGCCTGTTTTTTAATAAATTTTAAACATACATAAATCAATTCAAAATTACAATAATTCAACCTAATTTATCTAAAATACAAATAAAAAAATATGAAATTATCAAGTTAACACGATTTATAAAACATGTCCCCTTAAGCTAAAAAAAATCTAATATGAAAAATTATTAGAAAACATAATTTCACTTTGATATAAAAATATCACTTCATCCCATCTCTGGTATAAAAATTAGTTGATGACTAGATCTAGTTTAAAATATGAAACATCCTTAATTCCTTTTATATTTAAATTTATCATTTATTCAAACTAATTTACTAACAAAATGATATTTGATCCTGTTGTTATTACACATGGTTGTTTATAAAAAAATGTTACATTTATTATAATTTATTTATTTATTTAAATTAATTAGGCAACTATTATAATAAGAATTATATTGAGCACACATATATATAGTCTAAAACATAATAGGTCAATTCTATATATATATTCTATATAAGATTAATATGAAAAGCATGGATCAAATAAATAAATGATGCTTTTTTTTTAACGCACTTATGTTTTCTTTCTCTGTTCAAATATGTATAATTATACATACATCAATTATTTTTATTATAGATAATGAAAATTAAATGAAGCATGCAATAGGCTCTAGATAACACATTTATGTGGATGGAGTTTTCTCAATTAACCAATCAGAATAGTAGATTCTCTCCTATCAATTTACAATTTTAACCTTAAAAAAAAAAAGATAATAGGCTCAGGCCGCCTGACAGGCCTAATAGGCTTAGTATCAGGCTTGAGCCTAGCCTGATAAAGTAAACAGGTCTTTTTACAGGCCTGAGCCTAGTCTGATATCTAAATAGACCAGGCCACAGGCTCCTGACAGGCTGCCTGGCCTATTTCCACTAATCGTTGTTGTCATGTTTGACCGCATGAAACCCAAGAGTTTCCCCACTGCAACTCTACTCATGTTATGCCTAATTGGATATACTATCTTAAACACTTTCCCCCCCCCCCCCTATAACCCTTTGGGTCGCTTGGGATATTTTTTTAAAAAAAGGTGGAATTTGAACCCAATTCACCCGCTACATGATGTGGCTAATCTGCCACTGGACCAAATACCTTTGGATACTGTCTTGGATACTTTCTTTCTTTTCCTTATAAAAGATAATTAATCAAATTACAGTGATAAAAAATTAATTAGAAATGAAAAATATAACTTTTTTTAAGAATACCCTTATTTAGAGAGAAAGAGAGAGTACGTAAATGAGAAAATAAGCAAATCAATATGAGGTGTCTAATGCTTTAGCCCCCACTTTTACTGAATGATGTTTAGTTTTCATAGCCTTATGACACTCTTAATTTTCGAAATCATATATGAAACTGTTTGGTATCAGAGTAGTACAGGGATGCTTTGTTCATTTCGAAAGAAATTGAAAGGATCAACTTTGGTTTTAATTCGAACCAACCTATGGAAGTTGTCCATGAAGTAATTCACACCATAAACTCTACCTTCTTGGTAGCAACTTTCAGCATGGTGGTTGATTCCCAAGTCAAGATCCTTATAGTTCAGGTATGCTGCTCGAGGCCTCTTCGAAACATAGTCAGTCATGAAGTCATGGAGTTTTCTTGTTAGTTCTACGTAATAATCTTCTACCTCTTTCCCTGCCTCATGCCAGTTCCCTTGATATTGTATCTGCTCAATGTATTATACAAAATAAGTACAGAAATAAATCACAAATGATTTATAAATAATGCAGTATATTATAGATTTGATATCGAATAATCATTGATAAAGAATCATTCATCATCTTCATTTTAGATCTTAATTTTTTATAGTTGAAATAGTCTATTATTTTACCCAGAGACAAGGACTCGTGACATCAAGTGAGCCCCCACCTGTCTTTCTCAGTGCAACTAGTGTTGCGTGACCATAGAAGAAGCATGTGGATTGTCTCTGTTTTTTTCCCCCCTAAAAGAATTCACCTATAATAGTACTCCTTCGGTCCTTAATATAAGACTTAATTGTTGAGTTGATTTTGATTCTAAATATAAGATCTATTTATCAGTTTTTTCTAAATTATCTCTATTGATACTTCCTCAAGTATAATAAATTAAAGAGGGAAGAAGGATATTAAGGAAGATTATTATAATATTTTAGAAAAAAACACGTTATATTTCTCATAATTATCTCTATTTGATAATTATATTGGACCCCAGCTAATTTAGTATCATGTGGGCCAATACTGACCCACGGCATCATATATTATGCTGATACGAACAGATACTACACTTGTCCCTAGCGAAAAGGGCAATAAAGGAACGCATCCCAACTAATTTGGGTCGTGCTGTGAGGACCACGAAAGGTGAGATTTTTTTGTTTTTTTTGACCAGAACAGGAAAGGTGAGATTTAGTTTTGGTGCTCATCATGCTCTTCATTTTTAATGAGCACTGAAATCTGATCCATCAAAATTAAATTTCAATGGTTCAGATTTAATTTTTTTTATATCTTTTGGGAAGGAAATTTTAATGTGTACAAAATCTAAATCCAAGATAAAAATAATATCTTGATTGTCATTGTCTAAAAAGATGATTTTTAAAAAGTAATTAGTAAAAAATTTTAAATTCAAATATTTTCGGTATAGATCTCATTATATATAGTGAATAACACCATCACTTAAACTAACTCGCCAGCAACTGAGTTTAGTGTTTGTTAACTAATATTACTTTCTGTTCTAATTATAAAACTTTATTTATAGTTTATAAATGAGGTCTTATAATTAGAATCAGAAATAGTAGTATATTGTGCACGCACATGAGTGGAGAAGACATCTATTAATGGTAATTATAATTAAATAGTTAAAAATTCCATCTATAAGCATAGCTTTTTGAATGGAAAAAATTACCAAAATAATTTTTAAATGTACCTTCCATAGGTACCCAGCTCGATGAGGGAAAGGAATTGCAGTGGCTGGAATCTCAGCCATTCGTCCACCATAAGGATTAAAGTACATAACAGCGTCCTTCAACTCAATCATCTTCTTCCAAATCTGTTCAAAACCTTCTTTGCTAATAGGTTCCTTAACGTAATCAGACTTCCTTTTCAAGTAATATACTAACTGAGGTGTCCTATCAAGTAAAATGTCCAAAGGCTTTGTAATATTAATGTTCGCCCAAAACAACACCGATCTAAGCCAACTTGTTTCTATACAGTCCGATTGCTTCAAACCCAGTTCGGGAAAGCTCTGGTTCATAAGAGAAAGAAGCCTTTCGGAGTCCCCAAGGAACAAGGCTATGAATGTAATCCTCACAGTCTTGTTCTTACCATTTTCACTAGCATTAATCACTTCAATAATAACCCTGATGAAAAGGTCATTATCAATACTTGGAGCAACATGTTGCCACTTGTATGATATATCCGTGGCATTTTGTTCTAATGTCCTAGCAACTTCGAACACAGTGACAACCTCGGGGACTCGTACGAGCTTCAATTTGTACGAGATTACAACTCCGAAACTAGCTCCTCCACCACCTGTAATGGCCCAGAAAAGATCTTCGCCCATAGATTTTCTATCAAGTAATCTTCCATGAACATCGACTATTTGTGCATCGGCAACGTTGTCCGCCGACGTACCATATTTTCTCATCAGATTCCCATACCCAGCGCCACTAATATGTCCTCCGACACCAACTGTGGGACAGACCCCAGCTGGGAAGCCATGGATTTTGCTCTTCTCTGCTATTCTATAATAGACCTCGCCGAGAGTTGCTCCGGCTTGAACCGACGCCGTCTCGGTGTCTATATCGACGTCGATGGACCTGAGATTGAACATGTCGAGGATGAAGAAAGGGTTGTCGGATCTGTATGACGCGCCTTCATAGTCGTGTCCTCCGCTTCGGATCTTCATCTGTAAGTTGAGCTTTCGGCCACAAATAACGGCCGCCTGGACATGGGAAACATGTAAGGCAGTGAGAATAAGGTATGGTTTTCTGGTATATGAGTTGTTGATGAAACGGAGGTTTCTGATGTAGGCTTGTAATACTGTAGAGAAAGAGGCATTATCAGGAGTGAAAATCGCCGGAGTTATACGATGAGAATGATCGGAATGATTGAGCAGGCAATGTATCAAATCGTTGTGAGAGGAGGAGGAAGAGGAGGAAGAAGAAGAAGAAGAATCTGAGATTTGTGATGGTTGGTAAAGAAAGATGAGGATGGAAAGCAATGAGAGCAGTGGAGTTCTATCACTCATTTTGTGGGGAGTTATCTTATCTGAGTCATGTAAGGTTTTAAATGGGTAAACTTTTTCAAATATATATTTTACATTTACGCAAATTAAATTTCAAATTTTGTGCTTATATATTAATTTTTTAAGAAAAATTAATTTTCCGATCTTATAATTTCGATCCTATTAAAATACAATTTTCAAATCTTGACTGGGAAACTCAGTTTTTACAGTTTTAACCATTTAAAATATTAATTCTTAAATTTTAAATTAATAACTGAATTACATTCAAATTAAAATTATAGTATAGTTACATAAAGTCAAAGTTCAAAAACTAAATTACAATCGAGTTAAAATTATAAGAAGTAAAATCTTAATTTTTTTTATTGTTAATTGCATCTATTCAATGTTGCTCTAAACCACATTTTTGGCTTTAATTTTGCAGCTTCAGATCTTACCTACCCTTTCTTCAAGCCTTTAATATATCATGCACCTTCCAAAAGGCAAGGGAAAATTACAGTTGATTTTTTTATGATAATTACTTTTCTTTTGTTTTTTTGTTCAAGAAATGTATATTTGTAGAGTCGGTGGCTAGCTGAGACACTTTTGCGTACCTGCCTCCACAAAAAAGGGGACCAGTCCCACCATTAATTTTTTTTTAATTATTAATTTAAAAAACAAAATTGCACGTGCCACAGGCTCCGCCACTACCTTAGGTCCTACATGTAATGAGCAACGCTTTGAAAATTTTAGAACGATGGTGCTCAATTTCAAATTTTTCGTTCAACTCTTCGCTACTTTTTGTGTTAATATCTAGATTATTTCAATTTTATTTTATGTTTCTTTTCAAAACGAAATAAGTGTGAAAAAATAGACAAGAATAAAACGACAAATTGCGAAAATTTAATACTACCTCCGGTCCTAATTATAAGATCCAGTTGACTTATTTGAGGATATTAATGAAGAAAGTTAAATTAGTTATTTGTAATAAATAAGTGTTGTTATTCCTAAAATATCTTTGCTAATTAAGTGTATTAGCTAAAACTATTATTATTAGAAGGACTATCCTGAAAAAAATGTATAAATATGAAAGACAAAATGGATTGAGATCTTATAATTAGGACCAAACAAAAAATCAAACAGGGTCTTATATTAAGGACCGGAGGTAGTATATGTTTGTGTGGGTCCAAAGTAATAGCCAGCCATTGAGTGCCACAGCTTATGAGAATAGAATCAATTTTAGATGCATTATATCCATTCAAATATATGTGGGGCCTACGCTGGATCAATTGTACTAATGAAGGATAATTTGGAGAAATTCTCAAGAGCTTTTGGAGGATCACATGATGATCCGTCTTCTTTGGTGATCTAGTGATACTAAATCGCACAATGAGGGCACATACATAAAAATATACATTTAATGCTAGGATTTTAATTTTCAGTTAATTTCATTCTCTTCAACTCTTCGTCAAAACATATTTTATTAAAGAGATATGGTCAATTACATATGATTTGAAATATATTTGGCCGGGCAAAGTATATATGGATGACATGGTATTACCTGAGAATAATATTGTCAGATAATGTCATTATATTTTGCAATCCTGCAAATTGTGAGAGTATTATTGACTCTACAAAGATCCAGCAACATAAATTAAAACTCTAGTTTGGCATTATAAATCAGTTTTGCCAACTTCTTTTCCTTTTAAATTGTGTATTGTGTATTATAATGCCGCCACCAATGATTTCTTAGGGTCAATGTCATGACGATGCTATTTTTTTATTTTTTTTTATAAAACCTAAAGATGATTTGTATTATATTAATGATTTATATAAGGTCTTTAATTGAATATTAATCATCAGGAGATCTTTAGTATAGACGAGTGTCATTTGTACTACTGATGTACGTTTTCTTTGCCAATTTTATGATTCCCGAAACCAGTTACCCTTGGCCTGGTTCTATTTATAAAACAGAAAGGAAAGATTTTGTGTCTTATTTATAGGTTAAATGATTAAATTTTTAACATGAATATATTATTTTATCATTCATTTATTTTTGCTACATTGTTATTTTCCTGAAAATTGTATATACTAAATAGGGATAAATAGAGATAAAGTTGAAAAGCTATCAAATTTAAAGTAAAATTAATAAGGTTTAAAAATTTTATTAACTCTAATAAAATTTGTTAAAAGTGACTTATTGATATATATATAGGTCGACGCAATTGTCTTACAATGACATTTATGATAGATTCTACTTTGCTGAGACTAGACAAAGTCTCTAGGTGTATTAATGGCAAAATAGGTCATGCCTCTCATGTTGGGCTCCATAGTGAATGTTAATGGGCTTATGTTTAGTGGGTCTATTACAGGTAGGTCTGCTCATTATATTTACACAAAGAGAACTCACAAATTCTTGTCTTAATTTTGCTTTTGTGTGTACATGTATGTCATTGTTGTGTTGCTATTAAGGTCCAATTTTGTTTTGAAAAGTTTTTGGGTTGGAACTCTAAGTATCCAGAAGTTTTTCTATTATTAATATCATTCCAAAAGTTTAAAAAAAGGGAGCAAATTTGTCCTAATCGTTAAAAAATTAAAGGTCAAAGTCTAATTTTGTTCCGAAAGTTTTGGCTCAAGAGTTATGTGTATCTTGAAGTTATTTCTAGCTCGATGTCACTTTAGATGTTTCAAAATTCATGGCCATGTCGCCGGCCACCTATCAAGTTACCTGCCTCTCACTTTCCTTCCCTCCTTCTTCGGCTCTCATCTCAAACTTGACAGACTCTATGGATCTTAAAGTTCTGGCGGCTTGGCGTTTTAAAATTCTATCATCAAAGCCACTAGCTTCCATGCTTTGTTTCTTTATCCAAAACTCAAACTGCTATATTTTCATCCTACAAACACTACAAAGAAATGACTTTCAGCAGCAATACAAAATGATACTACTAAAAATGTGACTTTTACAACAACAACAGGCCTTATCCCACTAGGTGGGGTCGGCTACATGAATCACATGACGCCATCGTGCTCTATCAACAACCCAATCCTTAGATATGTTGTTGATTAGGAGGTCTCATTCAATGACCTCATTCAGCGTTCTTCTCGGTCTTCCCCTGCCTCTTTTTATGGGACTCCATCTTGTTTGATCCACCCTCCGCACCGGGGCCTCCAAAAGCCTTCTCTGCACATGTCCAAACCATCTTAAGCGATTTTCAACCATTTTCTCTTGGATAGGTGCCACACCGACTCTTGTCCTGATCTTTTCATTTCGAATCCTATCTTTTTTTGTATGACCACACATCCATCTCAACATCCTCATTTCTGCTACTCCGACTTTGTGCTCTTGTTTTCCCTTTATTGCCCAACATTCACTACCATACATCATAGCTGGTCTTATAGCAGTCCGATAAAATTTTCCTTTAAGTTTCTCAGGTACCTTCTTATCGCAAATAACTCCGGTAGCTTTCCTCCACTTTAACCAGCCAGCTTGTATTTTATGAGAAATGTCTCCATCAATTTCCCCATCCTCCTGTATAATGGATTCTAGGTATTTAAACTTTGATACTTGAGGAATAATTTGCTCTCCCATCCTCACCTCCAAATCCCTATTACCTTGCCTCTTTCCAAAATCACAATGCATATATTCTGTTTTGTTCCTGCTCAAACGGAAACCTTTCGACTCCAAAGTCCTTCTCCATAACTCCAAACTAGTGTTAATCTCTTCTTTTGATTCCGCCATAAGAACTATATCATCCGCGAAGAGCATGGACTTAGGGATTCTTTCTTGAATAGGTTCAGTTAGAACATCCAGAACAATGTTGAACAAGTACGGACTCAGAGAGGATCCCTGATGTAGGCCAATCTTAATAGGGAAGTCCTTTGTCTTCCCCCAGGCATCCTTACACTGGTAGTTACCGCCTCATACATATCTTGTATGACTTTGATATACGCAACCCGTATACCTTTCTTTTCCAAAGCCTTCCACAATACTTCTCTTGGCACACGATCATAAGCCTTTTCCAGGTCAATAAAAATCATATGTAAATCTCTTCTTTTACTTCTATATCTTTCCATTAACCCCCTTAGTAAATAGATTGCTTCCGATGTGGATCTCCCTGGCATAAATCCAAATTGGTTTTCCGAAATAGAAGTCTCCAACCTCAACCTACATTCCATCAATTTTTCCCACAACTTCATTGTATGACTCATAAGTTTTATCCCTCTGTAGCTTGCACAGTTTTGAATGTCTCCTTTATTCTTGTAAATAGGAACTAAAATGTTTTTCCTCCAATCATCCGGCATATTTTTAGAGAGTAGAATTTCATTAAAAAGCTTGGTTAGCCACACCTCCCCCTCATCACCCAAACATTTCCAAACTTCAATAGGGATACCATCAGGCCCAACGGCTTTTCCATTGTCCATTTCCTTGAGAGCTGCCTTAACCTCTCCGATACATATCCTGTGGTAGAAAGCCAAATTCCGATCATCTTCGTTAATTAGCAAGTCCTGTAAGTCCTGAGTCGCATAATTGCTTTCCTCATTAAACAACTTGTAAAAGTAAGCCTCCCATCTGTCCTTAATATCACCATCAGTAACTAACACTTTACCATCTTCATCCTTTATACACTTTACTTGGTCCAGATCTCTCTTTTCCTCTCCCTTTGCTTCGCGATCTTGTAAATATTTCTTTCTCCCGTCTTTGTTCCTAACTCCTGATAAAACCCTTCATAAGCTTTAGTACGTGCTTCGCTTACTGCTCTCTTTGTCTCTTTTTTAGCCAACTGATACTTTTCCCAGTTCTCTACACTATTGCACAAGTGTATGGCCTTAAAACAATCTTTTTTCTGTTTGACTTTCTCTTGCACACTCTTATTCCACCACCAAGTCTCCTTATCCCTTTGACCAGGACCTTTGGATTCTCCCAAAATTGCTTTAGCTACCAAACGAACCCTTGTAGCTATCTCTTCCTACATCATGTTTGCATTTCCCTGCAACTCCCAATTCCCTTCCTTCAAAAGAGTCCTTTTGAATAACTCCCGCTTTTCCCCTTTTAACTGCCACCACTTAATCCTGGGTTTTGCCACTTGATGGTACTTTTGCCTGGTACTCTTAAAACGTACATCAAGGATAAGTACTCTATGTTGGGCACTCATCCCGTCTCCTGGAATCACTTTGCAATCACTAAAAATGTGACTTTTAGTGGCGGCTTTTTTGAATTGCCACTGAAGAAAGTCAATTTTCAAAAGTAAAGCTTTTAACGATAACTCCTAATATTGTCATTGAAACGACTTTTAGTGGTGATAAGAAAGAAGCTTTTAGTAGTGACTCAATATATCGCCATTGAAAGCACCTTTTAGTAGTGATTTTTTTTGTCGTCGCTAAAAGGTGGTTTCAAGTTTATTTTAACTTTTTATTATTATTTTAAGTTTTTTTATAAAAATATTATATTAGACAATAATTTTGTTCATTAATATTATGACAAAATAAAGTGTTTTTACATGTAATTGTGTTAGAGAGAGAAAGAAAGGGCTAGAGAGATAATGTGAGGTGTGTGTGTGTGTGAGAGTGAGAGAGAGGGAAGAAGGAAAAATGAGAGTGTGTATGAAAGTGAAATATTATAATTATGTGTGTGTGTGTGAGAATTAAATAATCATGATTAAATTTATAATTAAATTTTATAATTTTTATATACTATTTTTCATGTTTCATAAATATAAATATAAATATTAAAATAAATAATATAATAGCTTAAATAATTAGAAATAAAAAAATATAACAAATAATATTGTATGAATTATATTTTTTTATACAAAATGGATATTATAAATAAATATTTTGATTAAATAAGATAATTAAATATAAATATTTAATAATAGTATTATTATTTAACAATATTTAATATAATAGGCAAGTAGTCCCTAAAAGTTTATTTTAGCTTTTTATTATTATTTTAAGTTTATTAAAAAAATCATATTTAGACAATAATTCTGTTCATTAATATGATTTGTTATGACAAAACAAAGTAATTTTTACATGTTGTTGTATTAGAGGGAGGGAAAGAGAGGATTAGAGAGATAATATAATGTGCGTGAGAGTAAGAGAGAGGGAAGGAGGAAGAAATGAGTGTATATATGAAAGTGAAAAATTATAATTATATGCATGTGAGAGAGTTAAATAATCATGATAAAATTTATAATAAAATTTTATATTTATATATACCATTTTCATATTTCATAATTTCTTTTTCTGAGTACATCTAAATAAGCATTAATTCACTAAATAGTATGATAACTAAGAAAAATGTGCAAAATAACATGAATTTTACAAGGTTAACAAAGATCTAATTATTGAGTTGATTTTGATCTAAAATATAAGACATACTTTTCATATTTATTAATTTTTTCTAAATTATTTCTATCAATTTTCCTCAACTATAATCATATTTAGACAATAATTTTGTTCATTAATATGATTTGTTATGACAAACAAAGTAATTTTTACATGGTGTTGTGTTAGAGAGGGAGAGAAGAAAGGGTTAGACAGATAATATAATGGGTGCGAGAGTAAGAGAGAGTGAAGAGGAAGAAGAAATAAATGTATTTATGAAAGTTAAATATTATAATTATATGCGTGTGAGAGAGTTAAATAATCATGATAAAATTTATAATAAAATTCATTATTTTTATATACTATTTTCATATTTCATAATTTCTTTTCATGATTACATCTAAATATGCATTACTTCACTAAAAAGTATGATAACTAAGGGGAAATGTGCAAAAATAACATCAATTTCACAAGGTTAATAAAGACCTAATTATTGAATTGATTTTGATCTAAAATATGAGACATACTTCTCATATTTATTAATTTTTTAAAATTATTTCTATCAATCTCTCTCAACTATAATCAAGTGGAAAAAGAAAAAAAGATATTAAAAAAGATAATTATGATATTTAGAAAAAAATATATCATATTTTTTTAATAATTAACTAACTAACTAATTTTATTTTCTTAATCTATTCAAATTAGTTAAATATATCTTACATTAAAAACTAAAAGAGTAGTTGATATATTGCACAACTGAATTAGAGGGTGCACATAGCCCACATTGATCTTATTTTAGAAGCAAAATGAAAAATACAAAATATAAGGATATATGTTGCATGCAACTAAAGAACAATTGCATTCATTCAATAACTTAGGTCGTCAAACAAATTTCAGATACTTTGCAAAGAATAAATATTCTAATGGAAGATTTTTCAGCAATTTTTTTCTAATTTGGAAGAAAAAATATTGTTATATGTTTTCATTTTATATATATATATATATATATATATATATATATAGTGGTCCATTTATAGTACGGGAAAACGACCGTAATGAAACATGTTTTATATGCAATAAACATGAGGTTCTCGTGTCACGAATCAGAAGTTCTGATATATCTTTTTCATTCACTAATTAAATTTGTCTCATTTAATTTGCATCAATAAAAAGCCTTAATCTTAATGTTATATTATTAAATGAAAAACGTTTTTTTTATTCTATTGCATTATTTGTCCTTCCAAATTACCAAACGGATTAAAAACTTAAACAAAGCGATGAATCATCAACCAAAACTGACTAGCATACTTGACCATAGGAAACTCAAAAACGGACAGGGTCAAGTTTGGGTTTTTCCTAATATTAAGGGAGAGAATTCAATAGACAGGATCAAATGAAGGGGGGAAAAACAAATTAGATACGTTGGCTCCCCCCCCCCCCCATGAATCTAATTAAGAATTTGAAACAAAATACTCCCTCCGGTACTTCATAATTCGCACTACAAAGTAAATTTTTATATTAATAAACGGAGGAGTCTTATTCGGTATGCTTTCACACTATATATAGTGGTCCATGTATAATAGACATCAAGACAAATTGTAGCATGTTTTATATGTAACAACATGAAGTTCTCGTGCCACAGTAAAGTTCTGATGTATCTTTCTCATTCAGTAATTAAATTTGTCTCAATTGCATCATTAAATACCTAAACTACCCCTCCCGAAGGATCAAGTGTGTCTATAAATAGAACCCTACATCCCTCTCGTTTCCACACAAACTATACCTCAAGCAAAATGAATACCACCTTGTTGCTTACCCTCTTCGTCCTTGTCTTTGCCTTCAAATCAGCCAAAGCTATTTTGGTTGACACAGATGGCGACCCCATCATAAATGGTGGCTCATACCACATCCTCCCAGCTTTCCAGAACCACGGCGGTCTCACCCTCGACGGCAACCTAAGTTGCCCTTTTAACGTTGTTCAAGCCTACACCGAACTCGCCCTCGGTTATCCCACTATACTTTATTCTCCAGCCAGAATCTTATATCTTCCCTCAGATTTTATGATGGAGTTCCTTGTGCAGCATCCGCCGCTATGTGCGGCAAAGCCGGCAAGGTGGACGATTGTTGGGGAAGAAAGTGAAACAAAGCATGTGAAAATTCTCGGGCATGAGCATGAAGAGGCGCGTGCTGGTGGGTTTAAAATTCTGAAATATGAGGGTGCGACCTATAAGATGGTGTACTGCCCAATTGGTGAAGGTTCTTGTCGAGCTCTTGGGCTTGCCAAGGACGTGAAATTTTTCCCACCTTTGGTTATCTCTGATGATGATGACCCTTACGTAGTTGTGTTTCGCAAAGTTGAACAATTTCCATTTGGTAAATCAAGAGCCCGATCACTGAAATGGTAAATCAGGAGTCAATCACCTCATTGTATTACTTCATATGTATCGCAAGGCTATAATAAATAAAATTATGCTTCAAGTGGCTTCCTTTTGGAAAGTTTTTCTTTTGGGTGTTTCTATATATTTATATTAGGATTTACAAAACCTAAGCGACAATTAATACTATCCATAGTCGTGAATACAAGAATGAGGTTGAAGAACGGGTCCACTTCAAAAATTAATTGAATTAATGTAGTACAGCACACGATCCGGGTCGTATTCACTTTAGGAAGCTTCTAAAAAGATCGTAAGTAACTAAGTATACAAAAGATAAAGAATTAACTTGGAAAGGGATTGATTTTCTTTTTAACTAACTAAATAACAAAATTTAAAAGGATGCAAAATAAATAAGTAATTTTTGAATTTTTAGTTTATAAAATGGATATGAATAAAATAAACAGAGAA